TGTTGACATGCTGTCGCACGCTTAGAAAAAGGCTTTAACTGACTTGGGAAAAAACAAGAACTTACTTACGGAGGACAGTTTGAGTCAATACGACCTATCGGATCTAACTCGTCCTCTTTCAGAGGCACTGAGTCGACTTGTTAGTGAGCCCCCACTCCTTTGTCAAATTAATGATTCCACTTCAGGTAAGCTCTTACCTTGACTTTTATTTGCTTCTCGTTTTATGAGTTGCCTTTATAGTTTATCTTTCTCGCTGTTAGATTCTTCCAAGTCCTCTGACGATCAGGATGAGATGGTCTTTTCGATCGACTTCGAGCTAACAAGAGGTCTACCTCGAGAATTATCTCGTCCTTGAGTGTTACTCGTGGTAACTCAAGTATAGAGCAAATTCATTAAATCCTAAAATTGCTATCCTCTAATTTACCTTCTAATAACTCATGTGTATCCTTGACACAAACAGGTATTTATTCTAAGGCTTTCTCGTATAGTAACTCATCTCCATGTATTATAGATTCTGGAGCTTCTAATCATATGACAAGTTCTTCTAATCTCTTTGAATCAGACACTCCTTCATATTCTAATGAAAAAGTTAGAATTGCAAATGGTAGTTTTTCTTCTGTTGCAGGAAAATGAACCATTAAATTGACTAAGACCATTTCGTTACAGTCTGTCCTCCATGTTCCACAATTAGCCTGTAATATTTTATCTGTCAACCAACTTTCTAAATATTCTAACTGTCGTATTACTTTCTTTGAATTCCATTGTATTTTTCAAAATCAGAACTCGGAGAGGATAATTGGCCACAGTAGGATGCTTGATGGTCTCTACTACTTTGATGAAGGTACCTTTAGTAATAAAATAACTCAGGGTCTTAGTAGTATTAGTTCTCTTACTGTTAAGGAACAAATTATGCTTTGGCATCATAGACTAGCACATCCCAGTTTTTTCTATTTAAAATATCTGTTTCCAAAGTTATTTAAGGGTATTGATTGTTCATCTTTTAATTGTGAAAGTTGTGTTTAAGCAAAAAATCGCTCCACATATTTTCCAAAACCTTATAAAACTTCCAAAGAATTTTACTTAATTCCCAATGATGTTTGGGGTCCTTCTAAAATCAGTACTCATAGTGGAAGAAGATGGTTTATTACTTTCATTGACGATCATATTCGCCTGTCTTGGGTTTATTTAATGTCAAAAAAATCTGAGATGAAAGACATTTTCAAAAACTTCTATGAGACGATTGAAACTCAATTTCAAACCAAAATTTGTATTTTACATTCTGATAATGGAACTGAGTATTTTAATGAGTTTTTGGGAAATTTTTTGAAAGAAAACGGTATGGTTCATCAGTCTACTTGTCGGGATACTCCTCAACAAAATGAGATTGCTGAAAGAAAAAATAGGCATTTACTTGAAGTAGCACGGGCTATAATGTGTTCTATGCATGTTCCAAAATATTTATGGGGGGAAGCGGTTCTCACAGCGACCTACCTAATAAAAAGAATGCCTACTAAAGTTTTAAATTTCAAAACTCCCATTGAGTCCTTTTAAAATATTTTTCCAACATCTCAAATATATTCTAATCTACCTCTCAAAGTTTTTGGGTGTACTACTTACGTTCACACACCTAGTCATTTCAAGTCAAAACTTAACCCTTGCACTATTAAATGTATTTTCTTAGGCTATGCTTCAGGTCAAAAGGGTTATAAATGTTTTGATCCTCAGACAAAAAAACTTTTTGTGAGTATGGATGTGTCTTTTTTAGAAAATCAACCGTATTTTACCCAAAATTCTCTTCAGGGAGAAAATGAATTTGGAAATGAATTTGGAAGATAATTTTTGGGATATTTTTGTTCCTCTTCCTAGTCCTATCAGATCGAATTTTACTAGTCCTTCGATGCCAAGTATAGAAACGGTCCAATTAGGGAGAAATACTACAAAACGATTCTACGAATCCTAGTTCTGAGTTAAAGTTTTATACTAGAAGGAAATTCAATCAGAGGAACCAAGATCAAATAGTTACTCCTTCACAAAGCCAATCTGAGACTCCTAGAAATGAAACTGAACTGTCTGATAATCTCCCTCTTCAACTTTGTCTGGTAATCCCACTTCTTTAAATTTTCAATATAATTCACTTGTCTCTGACCTTGATGTTCTCATAGCCATTAGAAAAGGCATTCGAAGTTGTACCAAACATCCTATTTCGAACTACATTTCATATGAAAAACTATCAAATAGTCATAAGGCCTTCACATCTAGGATAAGTAATCTGTTTGTTCCAAGGAATATACATGAAACTTTAAAAGATCCAAATTGGAAACTAGCTGTCATGGAGGAGATGAATGCTCTAAAGCAAAACAGTACTTGGGAGATAGTATAGTTGCCAAAGGATAAGAAACCAGTGGGATGTACATGGGTGTTTACCGTAAAATGTAATGCAGATGGTAGCATCGAGAGATACAAGACTAGATTGGTAGCTAAAGGCTTCACTTGAACCTACGGGATAGATTATCAGGAAACGTTTGCCCCTGTTGCAAAAATTAACTATATTAGAGTTCTTTTGTCTCTTGCAGTTAATTCAGATTGGCCTCTCCACCAGCTTGATGTAAAAAATGTTTTTCTTAATGGCAACCTTGAGGAAGAAGTTTTTTATGAATTTGTCACCAGGTTTTGAAAAGGAACTCGGATGGAATAAAATCTGCAGATTAAAGAAATCTCTCTACGACCTCAAACAGTCTCCTAGAGCTTGGTTCGAACGATTCGGAAAAGTCATATCGAGTTATGGATTTCTTCAAAGTCAAGCTAACCATACTATATTTTATAAACACTCTGAGAATAATAAAATCTCAATTCTGATTGTCTATGTAGATGATATTATTCTCACTGGTGATGATGAAGCAGGACTAGCTGGACTTAAGAAAAATCTAGCAAGTGAGTTTCAAATCAAGGACTTGGGAACATTAAAATATTTTATAGGAATGGAATTTGCAAGATCGAAGAAAGGTATATTCGTTAATCAAAGAAATATGTTCTTGACTTACTTGGAGAAACATGATTGCTTGGTTGCAGGATCGCAAAAACTCCTATTGAACCTAACTTGAAATTCCAAGCAGAAAGTACAGAAGAAATAAGATAGGGAACAATACCAGAGACCTGTGGGAAGATTAATCTATCTGTCACATACGCGACCAGTATTGCATTTGCTGTAAGTATGGTAAGTCAATTCATGCATGCACCTGGACCAACTCATTTAGTCTTTATGGTATTTATTGCTTTCCTTGTTTATAGTAGGTCATTCTCCTATATAAGAAGACCTAAGTTACATGTTTGAATATAGCATAATATTTTTTACTCTCACAAATTCACAAAAATCTTATTATTCTATAATTAAATAGCAACCTAGACCAAACTAAAAGACAAACCTAATTTGTCTTCATTTGTACCATGAATAAAAATGTAAACGAGTAGATTGACGGCAAGAAACAGTGCGTTAAAATATTTTCTTTTCTTCTCTTTCCTTCCTATCTACTCTGTTTTGCTTTGTTTATTTTGCTTTGTTTTTAATTTTTTCTTTTGGTTATTACATACTGTATTAAGGGTAGCAAGTTTTCTTCCTTTTTTTTTTTCAATGTTTCTCCCTTTTATTTCCTTTCTTTCTTTCCCCTCAACTTGTTTTCCAAATTTGTTATTACATACTCTTTTTTTATTTTCTAGTGATAATGATTCTGAAAAGTTAGATGTAGTAATGTACATCAATGGACTATTGAGATATTCTTTTTTTTGTCAGAAATTTTAAGTATGTTTTGTACTTTTACAATACAAAGTTTAAAATTTTTATGATCCCTCATTTAAAATGAGTACTGCCTGGAGGCTTACGCCTCGTCTCTCGCTGAGAAAAAACCTCGAGGCCGCTTTAAGACTTTTAAAACATTGTGTATTGTACCTATATAAGGTTCGACTTCTATGAAAAGTTCGTACCACCACAATATTTGTACCTCCACATATTTGGTTCAACCACTTGTATCACATTTCTTGTATCACCAACATTTATACTATTAATTTGTTTATTCACAATTTTGTATCACTTCAATTAGAAGTTGATTTTTCACCTATTGAGTTTAACTCACACATTGCTTCTGCATTACATTTATCACTTCCATTTTCTCAACAAACACAGTAGAATAGTCTTTTGTAATCCACATTGGGTGGCTGGAAGACCTTTATCATCTCTCCTTGTTTTGTAATATTTCATTTTATCAATAAAATATCCATTTCTTCTAAAATAATAATAAAAAAAATATATAAAACAAGGAAAGACAAGGAACCTGGGTATTTATGACCATTATAGGGAAAAATACACATCTTGAACAGAATGAAAATTTAAACGAGTAGGAAAGAATAAAAGTGAAGGTTGAGAATTACTCTGAAACTGAAACTTTGTACGGGGGTCCACCAATATGGTTATCAATCTGCAAATCAATATAATTATGATTAAAACATGAAGTGATTGAGAATTGAAACAAATTATACATTATAAAATCTAAGTAATGACCGTTTACTTGTCAATAATTTATTATTATTTTATCTTTATTTCCATTTATGTTTGAGTCTATCTTCTATATAAGAAGGCCATGTATTTCTTATGATTAATATATTGGAATACAAATAATTTGATTCCATCAAAACTAAGTTGGAATCAGAGCTTAGGAAGTAAACCCTAACTCTCAAAACCCTAGCCATCATCAAAAATACCAAACCCTAATTTTAAAACCCTAGCCATCATCTACCTCCGGCGAACTTCCCACGGCAACGCAACTGTTGTCGTCGATCCGTCGTCCTCACCGTCGATCTGCACCGGTGTCATCTGCACAGATCAAATAAATTCAAATATCCTAAAGACATTTAGAAACCCTAGCCTCTGAGCAGCTGCCGCCGCCCCCTTTTCATTGCCGGAACCCTAGCCGCCGTCGTCAAAAGGCGCACCTTACTTCCGGACGACTCCTTCGGGCTCGGGTTGTTCGCTTGCTGGGTTTATTTCGTCGTGGATTCTGTATCACTGATTGCAGATTCGGAGCTCAGAGGACATTGAGACTCGTCGCACCTCCGCCCGTCGCCCGTCGCCGTCTGTGCCTATTCTGATGCCGTCTGACGTTGATTCGAGCATTGCGCCTTCTTTCCGTCGTCGTTCGCTGCTGGTCGTGGGTAGTTGCGCCACCAAAAGGGAACGACAGACCCACCTCTGCAGGTCACCAGCGTTCGTAAGGAGGAAGACCATCGGAAATTTTTCTGGTGACCGTCTGCTATTTTTAGTTCGTGGGTTGTGGCTATCTTACAAACCCTAGACCGGTTTGGTCAGTTCGCTCGGTTCGGCTCAATTCGGTTTGCATTTAGGATCTGTTTGGTCCGGTTCGGACCGGTTCACTCAGATCGGTCTGGTTCATCCGGTTTGGTCTGGTTTGGTTCATCGGTTCTGTCTGTTTCTTGCCATTTTTTTTTGGCTTTCTGGTTCAGTCTTTCTACTCTAATATCAGTTTTGTGGTCTGATTGATATAGTTAATCTGTTTTTGCCACCATGGTTGAAGAAATCGTTGAAGTAACTCAAAGTTCCAACCAAAGTCTAGCAGAATATGAGAGTGACCGGGAGCAAGTTCACACTGATAGTGTTGACTCAAATCCATCTATTAAAGAGCATCTATCACAACAGCTAGAGACCAATTCGTCATTTGGTAATCTTTGTATTTCCTTGGCACAACAGGTAATTACGCTAGAGCATTTTCTTGTTTTGACTCATCTCCGTGGATCATTGATTCCGGAGCTTCTGACCACATGACTAGTTCTTCCAAAATATCATATTGCAATGAAAAAATTAAGGTTGCCGATGGCAGTTTCTCTTCTATTGCAGGAAAGGGAACCATTAAATTAACCGAAAATATCACTCTTCAATCGGTTCTTCATGTTCCTAAATTAG